ATTTTCCTTTTTTTTTTATATTTTGCCAATAAAGTTTCAGATTTTTGTAAAGGTCAACTATGATTTTTGAAAATTAAATTATTTTCAGAGTTACAACCATTTGAAATAATTATCGGCGTTTTTTTTAAAAAATTTCCCCCCTTCTGCAACAAAAGGAAAACCATTTTGAGTTATGCATTTCAAAAATTTAGTTGACCCCAGTACAGAGGTCTGGTGAATACACCAAAATATTATTATAATGAAGCATTTTCCCAAAAAGGAGAACATTTGGAAAAAAAAATTATTCTAAGTTAATTTTTCCAAAATATTGTATTTAAATATTTTTTCCCTCATAATGTCCTTGAAACAATTTTATACATGTATTCTAATCAAAGTGAACAAATACAAAATAATCCATTTACACGCTTTTTTAAAATCAAGTTCCCCAACGTAGTCGGGTACCTTAAAGATAATATAAGTATTTATTGAATTCAAACAGTCAGGTGCAAACATCAAGGTGCAAAATTTTCTTTCTTGAAATAACTATGAATGACATTAAAGGTCTTAATTTTAAATACGAGTAAAAACCACAATAAAAAGGAATATGTGCAGTAATTTAGAGTGATTTTCATTTAAAATTATAAATGAGAATCACATAATATGTATAATCATATAATCAAAAATAATAATCCTTGTCTGAATAACTGAAGTTAATGCAAGGTATTTCTCCTTTTTTTAAAAAAAACAGCGAAAAAAATATTTGAAATGTTTGATACTTAAAATACTAAAATGAAATAAAAATATTGTTGGAAATAAGCATGCTTGCTGTTTAAATCCAAACTGCATCAAAAAGTAAAATATCAAATATCAGTAAAAATAAAATAAAGGAAAAAAAAAAATTGTAAACCTGAGCAAAAAGTAGAAAAAAAAAAAGAAAGAAAGAACCTTCATCAATAAGAGGAGAAAAAGAAACCTAAAGCTGTTAAAATTTACACGAAGCCATTATAATAAATACAACAAAAAAACTTAAATGTCAATGGTTTCATATATTGAGATTCAAATCAGTGGAGAATAATTTTCATTGCCATCTGCCGGCTAATAGTAATCAACATATTTTACTGAAATATAAATTGAAAGTTAGATTATAAGGCTTTTGTAAAGGAGTAAAAATAATATTACTACCACAATACTTGTGGTTTCATATAAGTTGAAGTATTAAACAATAACAACAAATCAATAACAAATCTTAATCCCTGAACTGATGAATTTCAAAGTTTACGTCCTCACCAAAAAGTTAATAACTGAACATTATACATTTATTTTGAAGCATGTTTTCTGTATAACTTAAGTGAAACTATACAGCAAGAAAAAAAAGAAAAGAAAAAGCCTGCAGTTATAGCCAACAGGATTAAAAGTGCTTTCTGATGAGTAAGTTTTAATAATCTTCCTAGTCTATTTTCAAATATTACATACCAGAAGATGAATCTGACATTTAATTATAAAGAGATGTGTTTAATCCTCGTACATCTTTCAAAACACATAATTTAATCTTGTCACAAGCATAACTTCGAAATTAAATGTGTATTTAGATTAAAATAATCAGAAGTTTTATGGATGAGCATAAGGTTTCACTTTTTACAAAAAGAGATCACCAAGAAAATAATCAAACTAAACATAAAAAAACATTGATTTCATTGCAGTAGGTTTATTTCAGACACCATTAAATATAAATATTTTTCTTTATTCCGGCACGAGTTACGCTTTAAATTTACAACTAGAAAACAATAAATTCATTGCATTAAAAGCTACACATAAATACATTAATCGAGAAAAAATTATTTCAATATTCAAGACTTCAAAAAAAAAAAAATTGAAATATTAATTGTTAATTGGTTTAAAATGAATTAAAATATGGAAGTTTTATAAAAAAATGCACAAAAGAATGCATTAAAATAACTATCCCTATTTATATTTACAAATATTGAAAAATATTGGATATAAAATCCTAGTTTAATTCACATAATGGCGACAAAGAAAAGAAAACGGTGCCAAAACCTCGTTTTTCTATATTGGATTTCTATCCAATCTCACGCCAAAAAGACCAATTGGCGACAAATAAAGGTATGTACTAAAATAGAATCTAACCGAATGATGATATTGCTTTCACGTAATTCATTGTTTAAAAAAAACTGTTTTATTGTTCATAAGAGGTTTGAAAAAAAAAGAAGCAGGATCTTCGTTAATTAAACTCTTCTGAAATTTTAAATTTCTAAATATCCCTTTGAGTTACATAACTATCAAAGTACTACACTACGCACAAACTTATGCATTAATTAATAATTGTATAAAATTTGAATAGTAAAATTAATTAAGATTACTTATATAATTGGGAATAAAATTCTATAAAAACCATCCCTCAATTTCCCCAAACTGTTCTATACTTTTCTTAAACTTCAAACTCAGTGACGCAAAAATCCATTATATAATTTAATATCCACAATGTTTTAAATTATATAATCCACAGCATTATATAATTTAAAACAAAATTTAAAATACATTTAAGATAGAAATATAAAATAAAAAGGAAGGGAGGGGGAATAGACAAATATAAAGGGGGGTAAGATATCTATAAAACTTTAAAAATCTATACAGTAAACAAAATTTCTGAAGACACGCATTTAAACTTTCAGTACAATTGACTAACAAAAACAAAACAGGTGGCCAGGAAATACCTAAGCGTTTCAACTCCTTTTCAAAAATTTTTCTTTTACAAAAATATAGGTTACAATACAACAAGACATGTTCCGCAGTTTTAGCGTTCTGACTACAAGAACAAATATCACTACCAATCAAATTAAGCCAAGACAAATAGCTCTTGAAATTTCCATGTCTTCTAAGAATCTGGGATAACAAAATCAGCAAAAAGTTTCTTGCATTTTAGCAGCTGATAAATGGTCGGAAAAGACTTCAGTAAAAAAAATAAATTATTATTTGTTTGAACGACACACGATTACAATTCACTATTATTAGCATGTACCTGAAGGTATCCGACTACCCTAAAGTTGTAAATTTTGCAAAATATTGACAATTTTTTTTATGATTTTATTTTATAGGCCATCTTATTAGCTTTATAAAAATACCAAGTTTATTACTTGCCGCCCACTAGTACAAAAACTACAATTGTTTTAGTAAAAACAGATGCCACATTACTTTAAGCAAGATGTCATACATTAAAATGTGTTTTACTCGAAATGTGTTTTTTTTTAAATGCTCAAACATGCGCGGGGACAGCGATTGCTAAAAGAGATTGGAAAATAATTAACCGAAAATTTTTGTTTATGTTCTGTATAATAAAAGAAGTATTTTAACCTTCTGATTTATCAGTTACTGTTTTATTATAGAATTTACAGTCCCTTATACGAATATAATCACTGTTTTGTTACACAATTTCGTATAATAACTAAGATAAAAGTGCTCCAGTTTTTGTAAAACTAAAATATCTCTTATCCAGAAAGTCATTTCAAAAACGAATAACATAGCAACACACCAGAATTGAAAAATTGAAAAATTTGTTCATAAACTTTTGATACAGAATGGACCCCGTTTATGTCATTTTTTGTCAATTTCTACCCATTTTAGTAATAATAATTTCTTTTTTTCTTCTTAATTTTAGCAAATTTTTCTTAAAATGTACTAAAATCTAAAACAACAACAACAAATCCTCATATCTCCATTTTTTAAAAAAAAGTTTTCGCAAGTAGTCGGATACTTTAAGGACACTAGAATTTGTTTCAAATCTGAACAATCGAATGTTTTTACCCGCCCCCTCTGTATTTCCTGATCCATCGCACCCCCTGATGAATGGTCAACTTACTAGCTTTTTCTGCCTCGGAATGGCAAGGCGGCCCCACCATCGAAACTCTAAACAGCCTCGGCCACAGCCGGCTCAACGCCTAAATATCCATCTCCAAAAAGAATCCACGGAAGATGCCATATATTTCCGAGATATATAGAAATCGCCTGTTACTCGGACGCAGACGGAATACAAAGAGTTATCAAACCATATATTTTATGGCTAAGAAGGTAATAGTTACCCCGGACGAGTCCGTAAATTGCGTATTTTATATACGGACGTGCCTGGATTGGCTGCGCTGGCGGCTGCATTCGCTTCATCCGGGAGGTGTTAGAATCCTTAAGCCGCTTAAGCTGGCCCCACCAACTAAACTTCTCAATAAAAGGAGATGAGAGCCGTTTAACAGTTAACAGTTTACTCGGCCCCGAATTACAAAGGGAGGAAAACCCATTAGAGGTATTAATTTAGGATTCAGAGTTATAAATTAACTTTTTTTTTCAATCCCTCTAAAAGGGGAAAAAAATTTTAAAAATCTCTTTTGTTAAGCTCTTACTTTGAAGTTTTCGATTTTGATTTATTAATCATTTGGATGACTAGGAGAGAAAATTTAATTAGATGAATTAACGGATAAAAAAATGCGGTGTGGTGTATATATTTATATATGTGTGGTTTTGAATAAGGGAATGGAAAGATCAATTTGATTATAAAAAATAGTAAGAATAAGTAAGCAGATATATATATTTATATATCTGTTTTTTCGGTATATATATTTTTATATTCGGTATTTTATATTCGGTACCAATTAAGTCTTATATCATAGAATAATGCAATATTTCCTTCAAAAATTTAAATTGAAATTCAAATGTTAAAAATGTGTGTGTGTGATTTCAATTCCTACTATTAGCTCACTCACTCCCTATATATATATATATATATATAGAGAGAGAGAGAGAGAGATCTTGTTCAAATTTTCAGTGATTATTAAAATACTTTCTATTCATCTATTCAAGTTCAAATACATTTTTAAACTTGCAATGGACGACACTTGATGTTAATACATTTTTCAACACAATATTAATTCATTAATTAAATTTTAAAAAAATGAATAAATAGAAAAAAAATAAAAATAATAGTCCAACAGCATTTAGAAAGGAAAATCGTTCGTTGTGTCCTTACAGTGCAATGGATAGCACGTTGGACTTCTAATCCAAATATCGTGGGTTCAAATCCCACCAGGGATGGCCTAATTTCTGAGAATGTAATTTCTTTTTACTGCGTTATTTTATTAGTGTAATTAAATTTAATGTATAAATAAATAGTAACAAACAAGCAAAAAGAAAATAGTCCGACACTCTATATCAGAGATACTCAACCGTTCTTTCTACTGGGCCGCGTACATAGGTCAACTATTTCAAGCGGGCCGCAAACGTAGGTTAGTAATTTCACGCAAGCAGCATCATGAGAATAAAGGGGGTGGGTATGTTTAAAATGAGAAAATTGATCAAAATATTTTAAACTCTGTTTTTTAATTGCTTTTTTTTCTATTTGTCACTAACACTGAATTAGAATAATTTAAGAAACACTCCTTCGCAATTTCTGCATCAATAAACGGTTTCATAGGATAGCCAATAATATAACAAACTTCATAAGATTTTTTTCTTACCCCGTGTGACATTACCACTGACAAAACACTTTGTTACTGTTGCAAAGATTATTCAAAAAAGCCTATTTATTGCCTCCTGAAAGAGATCTTCGAGAAAAAGTGTCATTGAATGGTCCCTGTTTATTGGTATTTTTTAAATATAGCACTTTCGTGACAAATCAAACAATTACTGATCCATGTCTGTTTTTCTCTACAAAATAGTCAACCTCCTAATCGTCTTGAAATGATGTATTTTCTTCGAATATTTTTCTCTTGCAAGAAATGAGAAAGTTTAAAATTAGTTCCCATAAAAAACTGCCACTACTCCAGTGTTGTCTATTATCATTAACCGTAACCATCGCAAATAGAAAAAGAATATCAATTCGTCCTCGTACGACATCGACAGAAAAGAGCAAAATTGATATATTTGATTTCCTGACACCAATATTTTATATATATTGAACTTAAATAAGTGAATTTTTCAGAGCAATGGACACGGACCGGGCCACTTAAAAAGGCTCGGTGAGCCGCAGGTTGAGAATCGCTGCTCTATATGGAAAGAAAAATGGAAAATCACTTTCTATTTTGTCACTTAATATTGTGATTCTGCCCTACAAATTATACCTTTTTGAAGATGAAAAGTGAACTAATGAATGTAATCATTTTTAAAAAGACGCAGCCCTTCGATATCATCCGTTTCAACAATGCTAAAACAATTGACCACCCTTGCATTAGGTAATAGCAAGACGTGTTGGATAACATTTTTTTTTCGTTTCAAAGTTAAGCTTTTATCATATTTAAGGTATCCGACTAAGTCCGGAACCGTGATTTTAGAAAAGCACATAGATGGATAATTTTCATGATATTTAGTGTCACTTAGATTAGAATACATGTATAAAATTGTTTTATAAGGACATTATGACAGAAAAAATTATTTAAATACAATATTTTGGCAAAATATTAACTTAGAATAACCTATTTTCAAAACGTCATTTGTCAATTTCTCCTTTTATAAGAAATACTTCGACAATAATAATATTTCGCGCGCTTACATAAAGTAAAGACTTCTCCAGAGATTCTGAACTAGGATTTTTGAAAAATTCACATTAGTTTCAGAGTTACCCCCAATTAAAATAATTATCGGCGTTTTTTTTCATAAAATTTCTTTCCTTTGTTGTAATAAAATGTGGATAAATCCACTTCTAAGTTATATATTTCAAAAATTCTGGTTCAGCCTCTGTACAGAGGTCTGAGCTATATACAGGCAAAATATTTATAAAATAGAAGCATCTTTCACAAAAGGAGAATATTTTGAAAATGGGTCATTCTATGTACATTTTTTGTCAAAATATTGTGCTTAAATAATTTTTTATTGTAATAATATTCTTAAAACAATTTTATATAAGTTTTCCAGTCTACGTGACACTAAATATCATAAATATTATCCATTTATAAGCTTTTACAAAATCACGGTTCCGAACGTAGTCGGATACCTTAAACAATATTAAAAAACTTCCATATTTAAAAAAAAATCATGTTTTTTAGTCGTCTGATATTTTATATTCTAAATAATAGGGTACCATGAAATATGTTTCAGCGTTTTTTTAATCAAAATGGCTTTATTTTTATGACAGCACTGTTCATAATTTTAGGGAAACAGTGCAGAAAAAATCTAGAACATTTGCTTGAGATACAACAGTAAAATTTACGTTAAATACACTCAAAATATATTTATGAAGCCTTATTTATTTTAAAATTAACAAGTTCATATTTCCATGTTTATTTGTAGAAGTATTTTAAGTTTTACTAGAGTTAACATCATTTCATTATTTTATATGGTCAAAGTATAAAAAGTATAACAGATTAAGAATATTCAAATAACGATTTTCGAATTTCATACTCAATTGGATTAATATCACAAGTGGTTGAGAAGTAAACTAATTTCAATTATGCAAATCAGTAGTTTTTGTCACAACAAAAGAATGAGAAACTTTTAAAATAAAATATACATTTAAGATTCTCTTAAAATAACCATATGTGATGAATGATTAAGTTCAACTGATTTTATAAACATTAATATATTAAGCCCACCAGGTAATAATCTATAGTGTTTCTTTTGAATTCTATAAAATCGTTCTTAATGCATATTCTGAAAAATAATATATGCACGTTTCCTTGCATCAAAGTTATTAAAATTGCAGCAGATTAATTTTGGGGAAGACATGATCGATTTGAGGATCAAGAAAAAAAAATGCAAGATCAATCATTCTTTCCTTAACATCCATCAAATTCAGATGGGAGAGGAACTTTTTTAAAAAAAATACAGCCTTGGGGAGGGGAAGTTTCTCTTAGGAAGTAAAAAAAAAGAAAGAGAAGAAATTAAAAGTTAAAACGATCCGTACTTATAGTTTTTTTTTTTTTGTTTTTTTGAAAAAAAAATATTGAACATTTGTGAATGAAGTTTTCAATAAATTAAATTAATGAAGATATCAAAGAATGAAATTTGTCAGGGAAAAATCGCAATTAAATTTAAATGAATAGGAAAAAACTTTTGAATGTTTCTATGGCTATTTGATACTTGATTTTTACGAAGTTGGTAATTCTTCAGGAATTTTAAGAAATCATCCCAAACTTTTAACACAATTCCTTAATTTAGAAAAATAGTAGTTAATCTCAGACTGATGCATTATTATATTCCAAGAAGTATTAAAAAGTAAGCACTAAAATTAAATTTAATTGCGTTCAATAACTAAGAAAAAAAAATACTAACAAAATAATAAAAGGAATCGAAATAATTGTACCATAAATACCATAAAATACCATTATATAAACTCGATAACTTTGAAAATATAGTTCACTACTTGTCTTATTACTTTATACGTTTTATTGGTTATATGTTGTTTGTTATTAAAATATCCGAAAAGAAAGAAAATTTATTTCATACCTTTTTGTAAGACGACGATGAACAAAATAAATATTTTTGAAATTTTATCCATGTAAGAAAACATAAATAAGAAATTCTATTCACATTATTAAATTTCCTTTCAAATGTGTAATGAGATTGAAGTGAATTTCATTTAGTACTTTATTGTATAGCATCAGCAACTTGACTATAAGAACCTAAATATAGTATATAGTCGGACCTCTATATAACGAAGTCGCTAAATCCCGAAAAAAATTCGTTATAAGGAAAATTCGTCATAACGATTTTTGAGATTCATCTTTCAATTTTCTTTATATAAACCACATAAAACATATTTTAAATTTATAAACACTATAAACTTTCAAAAAGTAATTATTCACACCTTTTTGTAAGTTAATATATATTTATTTTTATATCTTGCCTATCAAAAAAAAAAAAAAAAGAAAGAAAAACTGCAAGAAAAGTTTCATGATACTTTTATCCACTTCCTGAAGAATTAAATTTTTTTTTCTTTGATTCTCAAGAACTTAGGTTTTGACATTTTTGAACTACGAATTTTACAAATGAACGGAGACAAGTTCAAGGACACGAAACTCCACTGAGGTTAAAAGGGGATATTGAAGACGTTTCTGGACAATGGGAGGGGGAGGTTAAATGTTGCACTTCTTGGATAAAATGTCCAGAATTCTATTGCTCTCGGTGAGTTAGGCACCTAATAAAACCAGTTGAAGATTTATGTCTAATATAAAATGTGTTAAAAGAGAGAATAACTTAAAATGTTCTGAAATACTTCAAAAATAGGAGAAAAAAAATTGAATCACAAGAGAAAAAGTTCATTATATAGAAAATGCACTTCACTATAGAGAGGTTGTTTTACGAAGAAAATCGTGAAATGTTCTTGATTCTAGGAAAAAGTTCGCTATAGAGAAAAATTCGCAATATAGAGGTTCGTTACATGGAGGCTTGACTGTACTTGAAAAAGCGATAGCAATAAATGTTTTTCTTACTAAAGAATATTTTTTGTTTAGTAAAATATAGTTTTACCAAATTTGTGTGTGTGTAACGAAAAATTCAAAACAATTGATCTTTTAAAAAAGCGCCCGTAATATTCCAGGGCATAAAGTTGTTAACTTCGCGGCTCGAAATGTTAAATATTGAGACTTAAATTCACAAAAAGAAGTAAAGTGGACCAATAGGTTGCTGCATTTTAAATTGAACTTAAAAATCTTCAAAAGGCCTGGTACGGAAGTTAACAGAAAGAGGTTTTGAATATGATTAAAAACTACAAGATACATCACCAATCGTTCAAAAGTAACATTTATATGCAAATCAATTTGCTTCAAGATATGGCAAATTATTTAGAAGATTGTATTCTATATTTTATAGAATCAATATGTAGCTAATTTCTTTAAAAAAATAAGGGGGATTACACTTTTTAAACAAAATATACATCAATTTCTTAGTTATAATGCAAGCGCTTCTCAAACTGTGAGGCACGCCCCCTAGGGGCCGTGATAACTCTACGAGGGGGTACGAGCATATTAAAAAAGTCGAAAATGTGTGAAAGATAATTTTAAAAAATTATTAATTTACTGAAAGTAAACAATCAAAATACATTAACATGATAAAAATTAAAAGACACATTTGCACTGATATAATATACTTATGGATGTATG